CCGCAATAAGTGGTGCACAGTTAGTCCCCATTGGAATTCCGATAACCTGACGATATACGGAATCTCCAAAGCGAACAAAAATGTTATCTAGTAAATATTCAAGGGCATATATAGTATCAAAGCATGTCCAATTGACATAGTTTTTTTGTTTATTGCTACTAAAAAATGACCTAAAAGAGTTTGAACCAATAGACAGAATTTACGAAAAATTGTGAAGAATTTACTTTAAAGGCCAATAACTCTTTATGGGTCAATGTCAATTTTGATCAAGTTGACTTATTTGTAGATACTACTTTGCTATACATTTTGCTGTTTACAGTTTATCTTTATCAATATTAATATTACCAATTCAGGGGCAGCAACTAAACAACGGTTTGTCTAATGCTTAATAAAATTTCAGGACAGATAGAACTTGACTTAATGAACATTTTCACCAGTCAGATTTGCTCTAAATGGTTTAGTTTCAGAGATATAAGCAAACAAATGAATTTCACCCTATGTTATATGTTTTGCCATGGAGGCCATCTTGGTTGATGGGTGGGGTCATCGGATACATTTTTGAAACTAAATACCCTAAGGATGATTTAGGACAAGCTCGCTGTTTTTTTTTTTGTCCCAGTAGTTGCAGAGGAGAAGATTTGTGTAAAAGATAACAAAAATTTACGAAAAATTGTGTAAAATTTACTTTGAAAGGACAAAGCTCCTTTTTGGGTCAATTTTGGTCATGTTGACTTATTTTCAGATCTTACTTTTATTATAACTTTTTATATTCGAATGCAGAGGGCCGAAAATATGTATGGCCATCCTCTCCTTTAGTATTAAAAAATCAAATAGTAGTGTTTTAAACTTGGACTTTGGTTCAGTCACAACTTCCCACAAGAGCCTATGCAATGATTGGCTTATTGCTGTTTCAAAGAAAAATTGAATAAATGAAATCATCGAACAAAGTTGATTCTTTTTGAGTTATCATGAAATAATATAATTAAATTACGGGTGCCACATGTGGAGCAGGATCTGCTTACCCTTCTGGAGCCCCTAAGATCACCCCTAAGTTTTTGGTGGGGTACGTGTTCCTTAATCTTTATTTTTCTGTATTGTGTTTTGTAAACTACTGCATATTTGTCTTTTTCTTTTTTAGCCATGGTGTTGTCAGTTTATTTTTGATTTATGAGTTTGAATGTCCCTCTGGTATCTTTTGCCCCTCTTTAACACCACATAATTTATGTTGGTTGCTTTGCAATAAGTAGTGTTGCTTAAGATATTTTTAAATAAAATATCATTATGCACATGATGCAGAATTGATCTTCTTATGTTAATTTAGTGTTTTATCAAGTATTTATATTTTTAAATTGTGCTTGTTATCCATGAATTGAGCGTGGGTATTTTCAAGTATTAGTTGGTTACTAGGCATTTATGTCATGGATTAGTGTTGCTAAGGAGAGTTTCGCATATCTTAATGCATAATTGGACTGCTATTATGTTTTTTCCCAGCAGGCTTCAAGTGCCTATTTTGTGCATTTTGTAAAAAATCAACATTGTATATTTTCAGCCTCAGTTGGTTGCTATGCAAAACAGATGGTTCCCAAGGAAATTTCATGCATATTTTCCTACTCAATTGAATACACTTTTGTGTGACATTTGTTTGTCAGTACAAATTGAATAATATATGTATTTTTTTTTATAATATTGACCCCTATAAGGTGACAATATGTGTAGTTTTTGTACAAAATTGCTTCCGAAACACCATAATGTTGGGTAGCTGCCACCAATATAAAAACAAATGTCTACCAAATTTTATTTTTTCGTTGAATTATATGATAGTCACTCATTTTTGTCAGTACCATATTTCATATTACATACATCTGGATTTTTTACAATTTTTACCCCAAAATTGCTTATTTTTGTGTAAAATTTATAAATTTGAACCATTTAATTTTCCTGTTACCATAGCAACCATAAATAAACTTTTTTTTTTTAGATACAATTTTTTTAGCTTATCATTTTAAGGTTATATAATTAAAATATTTACTTGCAGTGACCACTATTCTTTTTTCTGATATTATATTTCATGTCGGAATGTCCTGTTTTTTTACCAAAAATAGTGTCTCAGATTGACTTGTTTCTATGGTAACCATTATTTGACTGCCTAAAAAGCTTTTTTTTTCTTTTAATTGATCGATCTTGCTTGTCATATAGTCTTTGAAGCCTGATATGTTCATTTTAACCAAGGTTTTATGATTTTTTATTTTTTTCACTTTCCACCTGAAGCTCTATGCTTATTGGCACAGCCTCTTCAGTTAGGGATTGCGTTACCACAAATTCCTTAAAACCTTTACTAAATTCTTTAATAGATACAAAGATTTGGTCTTCAAGTTTGGCTGTATTTCAAACGGAATAGCATATCGTAAAGTCAGGAATATGACAGTTGTTTTCCATTCGTTATATGTGTTTGAGCTTCTGTGTTTGCCATTTTATTAAGGATTTACCGTTTTGAATTTCTTTGCAGTTCGGAATTTTTTTGTAATTTTACTTTTTATCTTATTTGAGATCACATAGCATTCAATTTGATATGAAAGATTAGCATACAACTTTTTATGAAAGATAAGAATATAATTTTTTATGAAAGTTTTTTTTTCTGTCCACAACTTTGATAAAGAATTCAATTCCAAAACCTTTAAAATCATCTTTGCTATACACAAAAGTCATTAAAATTTCCATCCTCATATTTCAATATGACAGACTAGCGTTTTGTATACATCGGACTTCAGATGCAGCCTATATATCATTTAGAACAATTAGATGATGTAACGCATTTGAAGAACTCTGAACCAAAAAACTCAAAATCGTATTAAATCTGGTTTTAATTCAGAAATATTCAAAGATATCAGACTTATATACTAGTACGCACGACGCTTGGTTCGTTTACATAATCCTCATCAGCGGTGTTCGAATCAAAATTGCAGGAAGATCAAATGGGATACAAAGAGTATTAAAAAACGAGCATTCCAAAAAGTAACAGATCTGATATAAATGTTTATATCAAATTCAGCTAACTAACAGCTGACTATTTTCTTCGTGGTGAGGAAATTTATTGTATCAGCAAATCTAATTAATTGATAATAGAAACACTATTATTCAATTTTCTGTTTAGATTGAATAGTTATGTATGTAAACAACCGAATGATCAGTAATTTAATTAATGTTATCTTATGTCACACAGTTACATAAAACGCAAACATAAGCTTTAGTTTAAACATATTTTATTTGTTCAAGTACAGATTGGATAAGACACAAGTCAAACAGACTTATGAAGTCTTCTCCATTTAACATTTATAGTAATATAATACAAAATATATGTATGAGCATGCATGTATAGAATGGTATATCTATTTAATATATATATATATATATGGATTTATGTCAAAAGACAGAAAAGTGAAGACAGAAAGAAAACAATAATACAGAAAAAATAAATATATAAAAATAAATAAATGAATATTTAGAAAACAAAAACAAAAAAATAAAATACAAATTAAACAAACAAAAAATACAAAACAAAAAGGAAGACTTTAACTTAGATGATGATGTGTGCGCGATCATGGTTTGCTATCTAGACAATTAGAAATCTTTCCGAACTTTTAATAAACTCGAAGACATTTTTGAAAATGGTTTGGTTTTGCTCTAGAGAAAGAAGATAACTACCCGAGGTTAGTAGTTCTATGTTAATTTTACAATCTTTTGGAAGCCAGCGCAGACTTTCAAACATTTTATTTCGTATGTCTGAATATAATATACATTTAAAAAAGAAATGATAGGAATCTTCACGATTAACACCACAGCGGCAAGAAGGGTCAGAAATAATATAGACCCTATATAGATCATAGTTTAAGGATGATGCAAAACATCGAAGTTGGGTTAGAATAATATTCAGTTTTCGAATTCCAAACTGATATTGCTTCGATACAAATATGGTACTCTTAAGGTAAAGTTTTTTTAGTTCAGTTTTAAATTTATTTATTGATTCCGCATCACGAGTTGAATCATCAAGATTATTCCAAAGACGTATGGTTAATGGAATAAATGAATCATTAGTCAATGCTAGTCTGCAGAATGGAATAATGATGTCATTTCCATTGCGTAGAGGATAGACCGTCATACTTTGGATTTTTGGGGGAATTAAATTTGTCAAATATTCTGGAACATTATTTTTGTTAATATTATAAAACATTTGAATTTTTCTTCTCTCTCTTCTTTCAGCTAATGTTTCCCATCCAAGTTCTTCATAAATAACCCTTGAGCTTGTGAATATAGGTAACCCCGTAACTATTCTAGCAGCTTAGAGCTGTAATTGCTCCAGTTTATTGATATAACCTACCCCAATATTATCCCAAACTTCACTGGCATACTAAAAAAAAAGGTCTTATAAAAACTAAATAGAGTTTTTCTACATTTTTTCTGCTCAGTTTATATTTCAACTTCCTTAGAATATTTATATGTTAAGATGTGCTTAAGATAATATTATCAACGTGGACATTCCATTTAGCATCATTGCAAAATGTAACCCCTAAATGTTTATGAATATTTGTAATAGGTATATTTTTATCATTGAATATAAAGTTCATTTCTGGGATTTCAACATTAGAAAATAACATAATTTCTGTTTTATCTGGATTAAAAGACATTAACCATTTTTTGGACCATTCGTTCAGCTTTTCCAGATCATGGTTTATCACAGTTTCTATCTGCAATGCATCACGATCCGCACAGCTGAACGACGTGTCATCTGCAAAGAGTCTGCACAGAGAAATAAGTCTTTCTGCAATATCATTAATATATTATAAAAAGTAACGGTCCAAGGACCGACCCTTGAGGGACTCCAGCTGAAATACTGCAAAGTTTTGAAGAAGATTGCTTGATAACCACTCTTTGTTTTCTATCACTTAGGTAGCTTCTAAACCATTTTAACAGATTTTCATTTATACCATAAGCCTTCGTTTTATGTAATAAACCATCATGCCAAACTTTATCAAAGGCTTTGGAGAAATCGCAAAAAACAAAACAATTTATCTCTTTCTTTTCAAGTGAGTTCAATATGCAATTATATATTTCTAACAGTTGGTGAACCGTTGAACATTTAGGAAGAAAACCCGATTGATACTCATAAATTAACTTATTTCTTTGTAAGTGGTTGTAAACATATTTATATATAACACGTTCCATGACTTTGCCTATGCAACTTATGAGTGATATAGGTCTATAATTGGAAGGTAATGAACTATCCCCCTTTTTAAATAAGGCTATAACATTTGCAATTTTCCAGCTGGATGGATACTTGCACTACTGCAAGGATTTATTAAATATTATACATAATGGAACTGCAATTTTTTCGGGACAAATTTAAAGCATCTTATGACTAATGACATCCGGTCCTGATGCTTTTTTAGGATTTATAGTTTTTATAATGTCAACAATTTCACTAGTACTAATCATTATATCATTCAATAAATTGTTAGTTTTTTTGTCGAAATCGGGTATTGAGCATCAACTTCTGCTAGCGATGAAATAAAACAAAAATACTTATTAAGAATGTCGCATTTTTCGTCGTCTCCATCGCCGAACTCCTCGAAACGTTCATCATTAAGAATATTTTTTAATGGGGGTATGTTATTAGAACCTCTATTTGGCTTAATCAGCATCTTCATAATTTTCCAACCAGTCTTAGAATCGGAAGCGTTACCTAGTATAATATTTTCTAAGTTTTTCTCAAAATTTTCTTTCGCTTCTTTCTTCATATTATTCACTTTATTCCTTTGTTTCTTATATTTATTAATATCCGTTTCTTTTTTAGATTTAATTGATTTTTTTTCGTAATCTATCCCTTATTCGAATTGCTTTTCTGATATTACTGTTAAACCAGTGTTTGTCATTGCCACGTATAGTTACTATTTTGGTTGGAATGCTCTCTCTTGCAATGTTGAGGATTTTTTCAGTGAATATAGTGACCATTTCGTCTACTTCCTCAACATTGGAAAAGAGCTCATTCCATTGAACTGCATTCAACATATTTGAAAACTTATCAACATCTGTTTTTTCATACAACCATATTTCCCGTTTAAACGACTTTGTTACGGACTTTGGACATTGTAAAAAAATAACAGAGGCATCGTGATCACTGATATCAGCAGGTACATTCACTACATCAGAAAAAAAATTGTATAGCATCACTTAATATGATCGGATCAAGCAAAGTACTACTGTGATCAGTTACCCTTGTACGTTTATTAATTACGTTTTTTAAATTAAATTGATGAATCGTATCATATAACTTATTATTATTATAAGAAAATAAATCGGAATTCAAGTCTCCAGAAATCACAATGTTTTCTGTAAACTGATAACCAAGTTCAATAGCATGATTTAGTCGTGTCCAATATTCAACACCTGACCATTCCGGTCGATAAGTACAACATAATAAAAAAGTTTGACCTTTACCTCTGATCTCCACCCAGATAGTTTCGTCAATGTGGTTTTCGAGTACACCTTTTCTGGTGACTGATATATCATCTTTTGTATAAATGAGTAAGCCTCATCCGGCATTATTACGATCTTTACGGAATATATTTTGTGAAAATGAATCTATCATTAATTCTTCGTTATTTATATTTGGATCTAAGTGTGTTTCAGTGACTGTTACAATATCAAACTCTTCTGCAAAATTTTGAATGAACTCAATCTTATTTCGTAAACTACGAATGTTAATATTGCATATTGATATGGAGTTATCAGTTTCACGAGAAAAAACGTTTTCATGTTCATTTGGACCGGGATTTTGTTCAACACTTCCAATTATAAGGATGAAGTGTAACACAAATAGAAGGAATAAAACATTTATATTTGGATCAAGGCTCTGAAGAAGCGACAAGGAGACGACGAGAAATGAACTACGACAATTGGTAAGTAGAATTTCCAAAAAAGGTTCTCCTTTGTAACAAAAATTATCTGATCCGGAAAAATGAAATTTACATGAATTGAATAACCATATGGCTACCCTGTATTGTTCAATACAATTACCCATTAGGCAAAAGTACACCAAACAAAAACAATCTATAAGACAGGTTGCCATTCAGGTTACAAAAAAATAGTAGATCACACACATCAACATCCAAAGTCATACATGGATTAAAGATATATACACAAAGAAAATAAAAGTACATTGTAAAAAATAATAAACTGTTGGAAAGCATTTTCGAGTCATAGAATGGGAAAATTATTTCACAACAAAATTTAAATTGCGGGATTTTTTTTTATACACAACTGTTCACTACTTTGTTATTATCTATAACAATCTTTTTTTATGTAGCTTTTGATTTTGGATTTTTGGTCAAAGCTTTTAAATATATAAGCAGGGGTGTTCCGTAGCTGCACATGTATGAAATATACATATAACATCTGATAGCATGACTTGAAATTGATTTCTTACAACTATGATAAACTCAATTGTAATATTTGAAAGCAGTATATTGTATACTTGTAACATGAGTTTATGAATTTATTCAGATGTTTTAACTGTTTTAAACTTTTTGATACAATTAAATTATACCAGATTTATTTGCTAGCAATATTAATAACACATGAAGCAATTTTAATGTACATAAGAGATATTTAGAGAAACAAGTAACAACTGTCATAGACACATATTTACACCATCTTAATATTTTTGGGGTTTTTTTTATCTATTATTATGCGCCATTATTTTGGTTCTCATCACTGTTCTTGATGGTGGTACCTTGGGATGAATGTGGACATTTTTGTTGATTGTCACCGTCTGTGGTTGTATCAAGAGCTGTTATGTCGTCATAGGTTGTGATACGGTTTTTTGGTGCTTTTCTCTGTTGTTTTGGCAAATATGCGACCATCGGATGTCCAGTATGCGAAAATGTTATGATTGTACTTGCGGTCGGCTAGCTTTTGTGTAAGACAAGTTTTATATTGTGTTAAGTTCTCAGTTATGAATATGCCATCTGCATCACCCTTTAAGGCTTTTTTGTTTGTATAAACCCTGCGTCTTGTGTGATATGACAAGAATCTTACAATAACCTGCGATTTACCGTTTTTTACATTTCCTATAACATTGTATAACATGACTACGCCCAATATCGTTAATAGTTAGATCCAGGCCTAGTTTTGAATTGCAGACATGTAGTATCAAAACATCAGTGTTAATAGGGTGAGGGATTTTACCGTTTTGGTCGATAGGCACGCGGATGTTATGAAAACGCAAACTTGTTCGGCGTGAATATTGTTCTTGGTTTTCTTATCTGGTTTCCAGTTCTACAATTCTTTTGAAGAGAGAACCAACTTCTGTACCAAGTTCATTAACTATGATGGTGTTACTTTTTACATCCTCGTTAACTTTTTTGACATTAGAATACAGTCTACTAATCCTTATATTGTCAGTGTCAAGCCTTTTGCCATGATGTTCGACTAATTCAGCTATCGGTTTTACTTGCTGATCAACACATTTTTTAACCTCCTCTTCAATCATTGAGGAAAAAGATTCACATATTTTTTCAGCAAGAATGGGTACAATTTTATTAATCACATCAGGACTAGACAGGGCCTCTAAAACTTTATCTGCAATACTTTTCCTGGGTGCAGGTACTTTTTTGTCTAAATCCCGAAGATCACCAACTGAGTTTCGACGCCTTATTTGTCGTGTTGTTTGTTTTTGTGTTCCTGGAAGAAGCTCTTAACATAAGTCTTACAATAGTAATTGCATCCTATGTTTGGGTGTCAACAAATAGATATCAGCTTTCCTCAATACATACACGAATGAAGATGTATGGAAATATTAATAATTACATTTATGTTTGTGAAATGAATAAGTCTACACACTGCATGCTGTATTAATTTACCTGTCGATGAAGACAATTGGTTTCAAAATTTAAATACACGAATCGTCAGTTACACAATCAGTTATGTTGTGTATTTGTGTAGAGTCTGTTTCTTCATTTTCATCACAAGACACACCTCGTGATGTCTCAATGTCTGATTCACCATTCCTTGCTACATCCCGTAGATATTGGTGAGCTAGAAATGATACAAGTAATACTCTAATACTCTTACACTTAATAAATACTAGCTGGCATATAGTTTTAAAATATGGAACAAAAATGAAATGTACCAATTGTTACATTTGTGTTTACTGAATACCTTGTCATTTGTCGAATAAAAAGAAAGAACATTTAAAACTATTTATGCTTCATAGTCCAACAATAACCAAATGTGGATACTTCTTGTTTACTATTCAATTGACAATGATTTTGTCTAATTTCATCTTTAAAGAGGAATCAATAAGCTTTCCCAGACTCTTTCCCAGTTGGTTATTTACAAGTTTGTTTGCGTATGGTATCTCTTTTGGTAATTATTTTGTATTTTGAAACTTCCTTGAAACGTATTAAATCTGAATCTATTTGAACAAGAAAAACGATTAAAAAATATCATTTCAGGAATTGCATATATGGCTGTCTAATGTCATCTATTAATGTGTTTGTTGTTGAGCGAATATGGTTATAGTCTGGTCGATTAAACTAGTGTTTAGATGTGATAATCCCTGGCTTTTATGTTGGAGCGTTCCTGATAAAAAAAAATTCCGAAAGGTGTTTTAGATGCCCTATATATATATATTCATTTAAATAATGTAAAAGATGTATATAAAGTCCTTGTTGCGGACAAGACGTTTTTTTTGGTTCATTCTGTCATTGAGTTGCTGTCTCAATGAGGTATTATATAATTGCCATAAATGAAATAAAGACCAACACATAAAATAAAAACGATTTCTTGAATAAAAGACGGAAGAAATAGTAGAGACTAAATGTATATGTCGAAGAGAAGTCGACAATTGGTGAAAAAAAATATCATAAGGGTTCCGGGGAACCCAGTGTCTAGCCTACTGTTCCTGTTAGTCGCAGGCTCAACAAAAATGGGGGAAAAAATTGTTAAATATTTTCCTCTAGATACTATCTTTTGATTGTAAGAAGCTTTTGTCCAATTTTTGTAAAAATCCAGGATGGTTTATGAATCTAATAAATGTTTTGAAAACTTTACCCACAGAGTGAATGTAATGTTAACTGGAAGAAAAACTAAGTCCATTTATAGGTAATATACGGAAAAACAGGAAAGAAATTTTTAAAATATTTCCTTCTAGATACTAGCTTTTGATCATAAATAAGCTTCTGTCCAAGTTTGGTACAAATCCAGGATAGTTTGAGATAGTTATTAAAAAAAATTAAACTTTTACCACAGAGTGAATGTAATGTTAACTGGCAGAAAAACTAAGTCCATTCATAAGTAAAATACGGATAAACAGGATTTTATTTTACAAAATTTACTTCTAGATACTAGCTTTTGATCATTAACAAGTTTCTGTCCAAGTTTGGTAGAAATGCAGGATAGTTTAAGAAAGTTATTAAAATTTCAAAAACTTTAACCACAGATTGAATATTTGTGGACACCGCCGCCGACAACGATGACGACGACGACGGAATGTAGGATCGCTATGTCTCGCTTTTACGACAAAAGTCGCAGGCTCGACAGAACAGAACTACAACGTTACAAAGCGCTCTATAGAAAACTGAAGTCCCCCGCACAAAACAGGGAATGAACAAATCCTGCTCCATACGTAGTACCCGTTATTTTATCATTGCTCACGGTAAGTAATAATGTTGTTATAAGTCTATTGTTTTATGTTACAATCCAGGGAATAAATCGATTATGGCAACGATTAAGCGCTTCGGACGCATGAAATTATTAAACGTGTTTTTTCAATTTTTTAATGGAACATATCAGTAGATTCAAAGATATCAGACTTATATACTAGTACGCATGACGCTTGGTTCGTTTACATAATCCTCATCAGCGGTGTTCGAATCGAAATTGCAGGAAGATCAAATGGGATACAAAGAGTATTAAAAAACGAGCATTCCAAAAAGTAACAGATCTGATATAAATGTTTAATTCAATATCAAATTCAGCTAACTAACAGCTGACTATTTTCTTCGTGGTGAGGAAATTTATTGTATCAGCAAATCTAATTAATTGATAATAGAAACACTATTATTCAATTTACTGTTTAGATTGAATAGTTATGTATGCAAACAACCGAATGATCAGTAATTTAACTAATGTTATCTTATGTCATACAGTTACATAAAACGCAAACATAAGTCTAACAATAGTAATTGCATCCTATGTTTGGGTGTCAACAAATAGATATCAGCTTTCCTCAATACATACACGAATAAAGATGTATGGAAATATTAATAATAACATTTAAGTTTGTGAAAAAATATGTCTACACACTGCATACTGTATTTATTTACTTTCTGATGAAGACAATTAATTTCAAAACCTAAATGAATGAATCGTCATTTACACAATCAGATATGGTGTGTATTTGTGTAGAGTCTGTTTCATCATTTTCATCACAAGACACACCTCGTGATGTCTCAATGTCCATTTCACTATTTCTTAATACACCCGGTAGACGTTGGTGATCTAGAAATGATACAAGTAAAACTCTTTCATGTATTAAATACTAGTTGGCATATAGTTTTACATTGTGTTAACTGAATAACTTGTAATTTTTTTCATAAAAAGAAAGAACATTTAAAACTATTTACGCTCCATAGTCCAATAAATAACCAAAGGTGAATACTACTTGTTTACAATTCAATTGATAATGATTTTGTCTTATTTCCTCTTCAAAGAGGAATCATTAGGCTTTCCCTGTTGGTTAATTACAAGGTTATTTTTGCATATGGTATCTATTTTAGTAATTATTTTGTATTTTGAAACTTCCTTGAAACATATTAAATTTTATCTATTTAAACAAGAAAAACGATTGAAAAATCATGTCAAGAATTGCATATGTGTCTTATGTCATCTTTTAATGTTTTTGCTGTTGTGCGAATATGGTTATAGTCTTTGGTCGATTCAACCAGTGTTTAGATGTGATACATCCATGCTTTTATATTGGAGCGTTCCTGCTAAAGATTTTTCCGAAAGGCGTTTAAGATGCCCGAAATATATTCATTTAAAGAATGGCATATTATAAAAGATGTATATAAACTGCTTGTTGCAAGCCAGACGTATTCTGTTTATCCTGTCATTGGGTTGCTGTTTCAATGAGGTATTATCTACCTGCCGTTCTTTTTTCATAAATGAAATAAAGACCAACAAATAAAATATAAACGATTTCTTGAATAAAAGGCGGAAGAAATAGTAGGAACTAAATGCATATGTCGAAGAGACGTCGACATTTGGTGACAAAAAAAAAAAGTACCGACGTGACAAAACTATAACGGTCAACAAAGCGCTCCATAGAAAACTGAGGTTCCCATCACAAAAGCAGGGAATGAACAAATCCTGCTCCGTCATTTTAACATTGCTCACGGTAGTATTAATGTTGTTATAAGTCTATCTTTTTTATGTAACAATCCAGGAAAGGAATGGATTATGGCAACTATTATTGGAACATATCAGTAGTCATATGTGACACAGATATTTCATAAAGGCCAAGCAAATTATGATGGCGTCCGTGACACTTTCAACGCAGGGACTACAACTTTACCACTAGGAACCATTGATTGTAAAGTTTGTAAAGAGCGACCCTCTACCAAGGAAGGAAAAAAAATCTGAAATTTCGATTTACCTTTTGGACATGGAATCCAGAAGCAGGTGTGGTTTGAATTCTGATACATAGAAGTGGTAAGTTCGCGTACAATAACATCATCTTTTGCCTAATGTATTCAAGATATGAAACAGACATAATTGCATCGATTGTATTCGTTATTTCAAGTTTGATGGACTTGAACTATTTAGTGAGAGGTCATCATATAACATGTATAATGCCATATTTGCTTTTCCAGCTACGGCTCTGGCTCTAGCGTCAACAACTGTATAGTATTCTGCTTAAGTTTGTTTGATGGAACTACTTGTGAAAGAACATTGATATTTACTATGAAGTTGCATTACTATAAGTACATATCAGTTTGACGACCATTTCGAGGCCCTGCCTTCTTTGACCTATAATTATTTTTTTTTACACATTGTGACTTGGATGGAGAGTTGTCTCAAGGGCACTCATTTCATATTTTCTTATTTTTAATAATATCCCATGGCAATGTCTATAGTCTGTTTACAAAATCAATATACATCGAAAACTAGAGTAAATTCGTTTACGGTACGTCAAAAATAGTTCCATTTAATATTCATATTTGCGGTAATTAAATAAACAAATATTAGATATATTGATGCAGTCGAACCTCTAACAAACGAGAGTAAAAAAGGTATAAAAAATTGTGGAACGTTAGTTTTAGTAAAAATTTGAAGTACCTAAGCGGCTACGACTATTGTGTTGTCTACATTTTCTTATCAGTGCTACGATAGCAACAATTGTACCAACTACTACAGCAACAGCAGCGATGACTCCAAAAACTTTAGAAACTATGTTCCATGTCTCATTATCTGGAAAATAAATTATAAACCTTATAACGTTGGAAATATTTCCACCAGACTGTAATTAGGGTTCAATTAGTCATGTTTATGGTACTTTGAAATTATAAACATGCAAAGCCTGAATTAAATGCACGCACTTCTTTTATTATTTCAACTTCTTCAAAATTAGTAAGAATAAATTAAATAAACATTCAAAGTTGTAAAAACAGGAAAAGAGAGCTGAAAGATTAATGCCCTAGGATTTTGTTGGGAACACAACTTGATATATATATTTATATATATACATATATCTAGCCTTTGTTAGTCTTGTATTATTTTTAATTTTAGTTTCTTGTGTACAATTTGGAGTTTAGTATGGCGTTCATTATCACTGAACTAGTATATATATTTGTTTAGGGGCCAGCTGAAGGACGCCTCCGGGTGCGGGAATTTCTCGCTGACTTGAAGACCTGTTGGTGACCTTCTGCTGTTGTCTGTTCTATGGTCGGGTTGTTGTCTCTTTGACACATTCCCCATTTCCATTCTCAATTTTATATTATATATAAATATATAAAGTGCATAAAAAATCAAAACAATAATGTTACATCTGATTCTTTACTTCCTCTCCATTCCTAGCTGGAACTTATCCTTTTTTTTTTCTAACTTCTAACGCCTTATCCCTAATCTTACTATTGTGAAAAAAATCTTATTTCGTTTTGTGAGGTGTTCACGGTGGTATTACACATGGTCAATTTATCACAATACACGAAGTGCACATGAATGATCATCTACTCTTTTCATCGGTATACATAACAGATTGCTCTTTTAAGCATACAGTCACTTTAATTTTATATTTATATATATCATGTATATGTCTGCATATGTAGCGACAACTGTCCATATCACATGTCCCTTGGGAAATATTAGGTGTCTGAATTATTATGAAGTCCCTAAAAAATCAACCTAACAATGTTAGAATTGATCTGATTCTTTACCTCCTGTCACACCAGAACTAAAACCTATACTTTTTTCTCTAACTAATCTAGTAAACAAACAAATTTTAGTCTGAAACGACCATTTCGATTTTAACCGGATCTAAAAAGTTTTCAGTTCACTTTCAGACTTATCCACAGCAGTAGCTTTAGTAACTGTACGCTTTGCATTCAGTTCAGAACTGGTTAGTATTTTTTCAGTCAATTATGTATGATATTGATGTACATGTATATTAAGGCTTCTGAACCATCTGAACATAGACTGGACAGATTATAATTGACTGCAAAAATGATGTCGGAACAGTACTTAATCTACAACAGTTGATCAGTTTGAAAGTTAACAGGAAACATTACGTTGTAATTTACTGTTCAGCCGTTTAAGAGCCATTCCGATCTAGTTTACCATTTCAGATCGAAATTGGTTAACGAGTTTCTATGGCAATGCTACCTAGCATTGTGCAGCCGTTTTTTCTTTCAAAACAATCTAATGTTTCTAGAGGTGGTATCCTTTTAATTTGAAAGATAAATTTTAATATAGACAATACCTTTAGAATCAGAACCAGGAACCTCATTCTTCAGATCTGTGTTGTCTTCTTTATAAACTGTAAAAGAGAGGTGAAAGATACCAGAGGGACATTCAAACTCATAAGTCGAAAATAAACTGATTACGCCATGGCTAAAAAAGAAAAAGACCAACAGACAAACACTAGTACACAAAACACAACATAGAAACTAAAGACTAAGCCATAGGAACCTCACCAAAAACTGGGGGTGATCTCAGGTGCTCCGTAAGCGATGGGAATAAAAAGATATACTTCATATTCCAATAATAACAAAACGAAAATAATGTCATCTTAGAATGTATGTGTTGTAAATCCGATAAATAATTCTGTCTTAATGGCATTTTCCCTACGAAAATACTTCAGCTTGTATATATATAAACAAGAAGATGTGGAATGATTGCCAATGAGACAAATCTCCACAAGGGAACAAATGACAGAGAAATTTACAACAATAGATCACGGTACGGCCTTCACCAATGAGTAAAACCTATACCGCATATTCAGATATAAAAGGCCGCGAAATGACGAATGTAAAACAATTCAAACGAAAAAAACTAATGATTTATGTCCAAAATAATGAACGATATGATATACAGTAACAAACGACAACCACTAAATTACAGGCTCCTCTCTTGGGACAGGAACACACAGAATGTGGCGGGGTCAACCTTGTTAGCGGGTTCCCAACCCTCTCAAAAACCTGGGACAGTGGAGTAACAGTACAACATATGAACAATCTTTAAAAATCAGTTGAAAAGGTCTTAACTCATCAGATCGATACAAACCACAAACACAAGTAACAAAAACGCAGAGTGGACATAGCAGGGAACTTATACATCCCCACAACAAAAAGTAAATTAACAAATATTCCGAGGAAAATTCAACACGGAAAGTCCCTAATCATGTGACATATCAAAAGCTCGAACACATCATACGAATGGATAACAACTGTCATTTTATTGACTTGGTACATACATTTGCTGATTTTTTTATGTAGAAAAATGGTGGATTAAACCTTCATATAAATAGCTAAACCTCTTACTTGTATTACAGTCGCATAAAATTGCATTATATTGACAACAATGTGTGAACAAATCAAATAGACATAATAGGTAAAAATGTCAAAAATAGTGTTATAAACTTGATCACTATAAAACAAACTAATATGTCAACAAAGAAAAACAAAAAGGCATATAGTCAAAGCACATAAGCACAAACGAAAGACAAGAATACAATAATTTTACCACAGCACAATAACACAATGACGGGATGTATACATGTATGTCCCGAGCCATGTCAAATGGATGTTACCAAAAATAGACTAAACAGTAAAAGTAATGAATTACAAAGACAACTTGAATTGCTAATACAAGCAATAGCGGATGTCACCCTTCCCCCACTGCTACTAAGCGGCAGCCATTTTGAAAATTTTAAACAGTGAATGCAGATATATGCAATGCTATACATCTTTCTGTAAATTTTCAGAACATTTTTAGCATTTTGGAGTACTTAAAAATTATGAATTGTTTGCTGTTTCCATGGCAACGGTGGTCATTTTGCAAATTCCAAAGTCTCATCTATAATCGCCGGGTAACATTCATATTAATTTTCATAAAGTTTTGAGCATTTTGAAATTTTTTGACATTTTTTTACATGTGCTCTTTCCATGGTAACCGTGATCAATTCCAAAATGCCAAAAACAGATGCCACATTTGCATTAGACAGGGAACATACCAAAGAAGAATCATAGAATTTGACATACCATTATAAGTGAGTAAATGCTACTTAAAGAATTTTCTCATAGGTTTAATAATAATAATAAACTTTTCCTCTGGTTTCCATGACAATGGCGGCCCTTTTGGAATTTCTAAATATGGACAACTTATCTAGGCATGCCAGACAACATTGCCATGAAGTTTCAACCAGTTGAGTCTTATAATAAAAGATTTAGAATTTTGATTTTTTTCACATTTTTTGCTGTTTTCATGGTAATTGCGGCCATTCCAAAAATTTCAAAGACGTCCTGAACAACTACACTGGGTGGTAATCATTATAGTGACCATTTATTAAGATTGGTCCGCCAAACTCCCAGGAATGACCCGGACAATTCTAGGTGGAAGTAAAATAATAATAACTAGATTTGTCATTGCAAGCAAATGCGGATGGCACCCTTCCCACATTGCCACTAGATTGCAGCCAGTTTTATAATTTTAAAGAGTGAATGCACATATATACTGATGACTATACATCTTTCTCTATTTCTTTAGAACATTAAGGGGATTTACAAATTTTACGCATAATTTTTTCTTTTTTGTCTTGTTACCATGGTAACGGCAGCCATTTTGGAAATTAAAACGTCAATTGCCGCTTCCATACATGACAGTCAACATTATTGTGAAATTTCATTAAGTTTGAAGCATTTTGAAATTTTTGAAATTTTTGCTCCTGTATCCATGTTAACATAGTAGTTCTAATGATTGTCAAAATCATTCAAAACCTGAATATAATGGACAACTATATTGTATAAAAATTCGATGATTTTAAGTTAAAGCATATCGAAATTATTCACCAAACCCTGAAGCTTTTGTAGCATTTTGACCTTTTTGCATTGTTTCCATGGTAACAACAGCCATTTTGGAAATTCCAACTCCAAATGCCACATCTTCCAATGTTGCTCATCGTTACTGTGAAGTTTCATTAAGTTTGGAACAATTTGATATTTTTGAAATTTTTGGTGTAGTTTCCATGGCGACATAGTAGTTCCAATGATTGCTAAAATCATCCAACACCAGCATATACTTGGAACCTACATTGTATTAAGATGTAATGATTCATAGTTTAAGCATATCCAAACAGTTTACCAAAACCAAAAACTGGATTTTTTCACATTTGTTCCGTTTCCATGGTAACGGCAGCCATCTTGAACCATTCCATCCTTCGTGCAACTCTTCACATGGGGGTCCTCGATATAGTAGAGTTCCATCAACATTGGTCTATTGGATTTCGCGAAATCGCGCGGACAAAATGTGTGGAAGAAAAATAATAATAATAAAAATAATAACTAGATTTGCCATTGCAAGCAATAGCGGATGGCACCATTCCCCCATTGCCAGGCGAGCGGCAGCCATTTAGAAAATTCCAAAGTCAAAGAGTGCATCTACACATGCAAATTATCATTTTTGTAAAGTTTCATTAAGTTTGGAGCATTTTGAAAATTTGGACATTTTTGCTGTTTCCATGGTTACGGCGGCCATTTTGAAAATTCCAACTTTAAAATGCAACTCTGCCTATGCTAGTTACCATTTCTGTAAAGTGTCATCCAGTTTGCAGCATTTTGATTTTTTTTGAAATTTTTGACATTTTTGATGTATCCATGGTTACAGTGGATAATTCAAAAATTCTAAAAGCAGACAACTCATTGCCACATGTTATATATCAATACAGTTTCATTGACTTTGGTAAGAAAATGCTGATTTTATGCATTTTCCCATAGGGTCAATGTTAAACTTGCCCCCAGTTTCTATGACAACGGCGGCCATTTTGGAATATCCAAATATCGTCTTGGCATCTTGGCATACTGGGTAACATTTTCATTTAGTTTTATCCAGTTGGGTCTTATAACGAAAGAGTTAGAATTTTTGATAGTTTAGCTGTTTCCATGGTAACGGCAGCCATTTTGAAAATTCCGAAGTCAAATTGCAAATCAGCTCATGCCAGTCACCATTCCTGTGGAGTTTTTTCCAGTTTGGAACACTTTGATTTTTTGGGCATTTTTGCTGTTTCCATGGAAACGGTGGCCATTTTTTACCATTCCATTGCAAGGTGGGGTCCTCATTATAGTAGAGTTCCATCAACATTGGTCCTTTGGATTCCAAGAACTCGCGCGGACAAAATTTGTGCAAGAAAAATAATAATAAAAAAAAAGAAACGTAGAATAACAGTATGTCACCCCAACTCCGTTGAGGGTGCCATAATAAGAAGAAAAAAAAGAAACGCAGAATAACAATATGTCACCCCAACTCCGTTGAGAGTGCCATAACTAGATTTGCCATTGTAAGCAATAGCGGATGACACACTTCCCCCATTGCCAGGCGAGCGGTATCCATTTAGAAAATTTCAAAGTCAAACAGTGCATCTACAGATGTCTATTAACATTGCTGTAAAGTTTCATCAATTTTGAAGCATTTTCAAATTTTGGACATTTTTTGCTGTTTCCATGGTTACGGCGGCCATTTTGAAAATTCCAACTTCAAAATGCAACTTTGCCTATGCCAGTTACCATTTCTGTAAAGTTTCATCCAGTTTGCAGCCTTTTGACATTTTTGGAAATTTTGGATTTTTTTGCTGTTTCCATGGTTACAGTGTATAATTCCAAAACTCTAGAAGCAGACAACTCATTGCCATATGTCATGTTATATATCAATACAGTTTCATTGACTTTGGTGAAATACTCTTTAAGAAAATGCTGATGTTATGCATTTTCCCATAGGGTCAATGTAAAACTTGCCCCCAGTTTCCATGACAACGGCGGCCATTTTGGATTATCCAAATATTGTATTGACATCTTAGCATACTGGGTAACATTTTCATTAAGTTTCATCCAGTTGAGTCTTATAACGAAAGAGTTAGAATTTTTGATATTTTAGCTGTTTCCATGGTAACGGCAGCCATTTTGAAAATTCTGAGGTCAAACTGCAAATCAGCACATGCCAGTTAACATTCCTGTGGAGTTTCTTCAAGTTTGGAACACTTTGATTTTTTTCGCATTTTTACTATTTCCATGGAAACGGCGGCCAATTTTTACCATTCCATGCTCCGTGCACAACTTCACATGGGGGTCCTCAGTATAATAGAGTTCCATCAACAATGGTCCATTGGATTTCGAGAAATCGCTTGGACCAAATGTGTGAAAGAAAAATAATAAAAATAATAATAATAACTAGATTTGCCATTGCAAGCAATAGCGGATGTCACCCTTCCCCCGATTGCCTCTAAGCGGCAGCCATTTTGAAAATTTTAAACAGTGAATGGACATATAT